TGATTGTATGTAGCAATAATTGGGGTCCCAGTATTATATTTCACAGTGCCTTTTTGAAGAGTTCACACTTGCCTTAAAAAGAAAAAAAAAAGAAAAAGTGTCTCAACCAAAAAAGTATTCTGTAAAGGTGTGATCATTTGAATGTAGGGATGGGTTTTTGTTATACCTTACCACTTATTTAAAGAATAAAATAAGGCCACAGTCCTAAAAAACTTCATGCAGTACACAAAAAGTACTACTACTTTAACAGGTTTTTTTTTGTTTTTTTTCCTCCTGAATGTAACGTAAGGATGAGTTGACTATAATTATATGTATATATAATTAGTCGGTTCACTAAGAATTGTGAGACTGTATTCTTTGTACTGTACATGTTTTGTAGTTCTCCCAATAAATTTTTGGAAATGAAATAAAGCATACCATGGATGTTTTGTCTAAAGCGGTGGCTCTCTGTCTTTGACCAGTGTATTAACCCAAAAAAAAACAAAAACGTTTTTCTGGCATCTGGCCAAGACCAATAACAAGTATTGTGGACGGTTCCAAAGTACTCGTTGGGTATAGACAGAATTTTAACTCTTGTGGTTGCACAATAGCTTTTACCTATTTTATGATCTGATCATATACTGTGCACTAAATCAACCCTCTGCACTTCCTGGTAACAAAAAACAAACCAAAAAACATGCGTTCATATACAAAGGATATTTTATGCTCCTTCCTATCAAAAATGTGCATCTGATTTTACCGCTGAAACTAAATCCGCTTGCTTTCAACTGGAACTCTTTCTTCTCTATCCACATGCTATACAGCCAGTGAGTTCTGTTGAAAAGGCTTACAATGCTGCCAGACAATTGGGTTATTCATTCTCCGTGGCTTTGTAATTACAGGAATCTCAAGCTAATTAAATTAATGATGGAAGTAAATAGAAGGACTAGAATCTACACAGTTTTAGCTGGTGTGTATGCATTTTTTTAATTATTATTAAAGTTGCATCCTTTTGGAATTCCATGTTTTTTTATACATGTATAATATATGGGTGCCATTTCCAAGGGCCAGTCAACATTTTTGTTTTCTAACCTGGTATTTGTGTTTTATATAAAATGGGGGGGAATATTTAATTATTTATTGACTTGGAGATATGCACACGTGTATCATCTGTAGAGTTGTAGATTCACCTAATAGTGTCAACATTAACCACATAATTGGG